ATTTTTAAGCCGGCTGACCACTGACATACCACAGCTACTGTAGTGTGCCCAAAAACAGAGAAAGAGAGCGAAAGCTAAAGCCCTATGAGAGACCGCAGCGAAACGAAGAAATCCGAACGAATCCGAAGGATTGAAAGAGCGACTTGCAGAGGAAACTATTGAGCGCGGCAACTCTGGATGTGGCACTTGTGTAATATTGGCAATTAACTAACTGAAAATGGGGTTGATTCCTGAATGCCAGCTGGGCCAAAGGAAGGGGTGGACGGAGTGGCGGAGTAGCGGGGCAAGGATGCCTTAGATGGATGCTCGAAATCAGTTGAAATCTGATTATGCATCAGCTTTATTGCCTAATGACTTGCATCTAACTTAAAAGCAATTTGTTGTGAAATAATTATTAGAAAACTAATATTTTTGCAAAAATTTAATTAACATTTTTAACGTTTTTCTAATAATCTTTTAGAATTTTTGATCAGTTGGGTTTTTTTTTTAATTATAAAAATTGGTATTAACCCAAATAATGTTAAACTCATTTCATGGCTAAAGTTTTTATAATAACTGCTAATTATAATATATAAATTATAATTATGATGTTAGGAAGATCTTTTAATAACGTAATACAAAGAGATAACTTGATTCGATTCACCAAGGCTGTATAAAGAAGTTATTTTTTCGGAAAATGGTGAAGAATAGGCACCTTTAAAGCCCGGTCTTGTAATTCATCAAGAGCTCTGGCATTTCCCCCCACCACTTTTGACCCCGCTACCAATTAGCAGACGCCTGAAAACGAATTTTCCGCACCAGGTGGATATCTCCGTCCGCAGATCCCTCAACTTTTACCATGTTTTCTTGTTGGTATTTTCCTTTTTTTTGTTCTTCGGACTGACAGATGTACGTTTCAATTATTTGGTGGCTCTCTCACGCGAGATGCTCCAAATTCGCATGCCACAACAACTGGCCGTGGTCCAATAAATCATTTGATTTGTACACTTGCCCGCGGACAGGGGCGGAGTTGGACTGGGTTGCCAGAGGGGGACCTGGAGGCGAAGTCCAGGGGACTTGAACTCGGGGCACGTGGTGTGCGTGCCTTCCGGTGCTAAATCAAGGCGAACGCTTTCGAATTGTCTTACCTTTCGGTGGTACCATTGGACATGGACATGGACCAACCCACCACCATCACCCACGATGATGCGGCCCCTGTTTGTTTCAAAATGGGGAAGCAACTGTAGTTAATATTTATGGCGATTTAATCTTCTCACTTGAGCGCTGCTCAGTTAAGTTTGATAGAGACGAGCCACCCAGGGGGGTCAAATCTCCCCTACTTTCGCCTCTCAGGATGACCCTTTTCTTTTTTTTTTCCTCTTTCTTTTTTTTTTGTTTACTGGTTGTGATCCTTGGACCAGCTTTTCCAGCTCACAGTTTGTTTTGCGTGTCCATTTAATTTCCGCCTGGAATTGCTTAATCAAACACAGCACTGGGGATAAACCATACCCATCCCCCTTGGAAAACCATCTTCCCCTGCCACGCCACTGAACTCTGGACAAATCGCTTGAGTTTCATATGGACAAACGCCAAAGTTGGCTTAATGAGTAGTTTAGCTCATGTTCCCACAGCCATTCATGGACGGGGAAAGTCAACTCTGGTGGGGGGGTTAGCTTGACTATATGAAAAGGTAACAGGGGGTGTTATTTCCTTGTGTGTGTGTGTGTGTGGGTTAAGCAAACAGCAATGTGCATTAGCAACAAATTGTTATTGTTGTTGTCAAGCTAAAGGCGATAAGGAAAAAGTTAAAGTTACTTTTTGGTAACGGGGAAAGGGGGGTTACAAGAATAACAGGAAGGGGAAAAAGAAAGCAAATAGAAGAAGATACTTATGAAAATATTTTCTTGGTATTTAAATCTATGAGAATGTGTGGAATATGACTAGGACATGCCTATAGGAAGATAGCTGGAAATTCAAGATTTTTTCTGCTGCCTACTTCTAGGCTCCATCATAAATAAAATTCCCTGCAAAGTTTCTTTGTTTCTAAAACAAACTCAAACCATATGTCAGCTATAGAAATAGTGGATTATTTCCCCGGAATTTAAATGAGTATCTAAAGTATTTATATCCCCCATTAGTTAACCTTATCTAGCTGATCACATAATCTACCGACTTGCAACTCCGTTTCCATTCAACGTAGCCAGTGAAGTGGCAAATCGATGCGGAATGGAAATCGAGGGCTTGAAGCTCTAATTTAAATTAATGACACACAACAATTGGACACGCCCAGCCTCGCCCCGTATGAGGGCCTTCTCAGCCCTTATTCTTTATTTTCAATTAAACAAATAGCTGAATTTGACATTTTTTTGGTCTCTTGAGCAAAGTACGGGAAAAGTTCAAAGGAAAAATCATAAACGGAAATAACAAGTCGATGGTAAAGAAAAGAAAAGAAAAGAAAAGCAGAGGGAGAAAAAGAACGCGATAAGAGCGATGACAGGCCATTTCCACACCCCCTTTTTCGACGTCACTGAAGTTCGTTCTTATCGCGATAGCATCGAGAATCCTTGCGGGAAACAGGCTCTTGGCCTAGGCAAATGTTTACTTTACTTTTCCATCCGCCTGCCCCCATCCGGATCTATCTTTTTCTTCTCTCTAAGGCGATTACTTGAATTTTCTCGGAAAATGAAAACTGAGAGGAAAAATGAACACATTGCAGTTCCGTTTCGTTCATGATTCAATTAGCCACAGACGAGTGAACTTTAAGGGGGATAAACCAAATCTTCTATAAAGTCAGTTTAACAGCAAGCTGTTTTTCTATAATGTTATTCTTATGATAAGTCTAGCACTTTTATCAGTTTCCTATTGCCCATTTCTAACTACTAAAACCCAAGTACAAGCTACCTACCTACATACATCAATTGCATTTGCAAATTGGTAAATCCCTTTCATCATCATTAACGATAAACCAACTTGGTTTAGAACCCCTGATTAAGTCTCTAGCCTCAGCAGCAGCAGAATCCAACAAGACACTGACCAAGTATTATCCGTTGTCAGTGCAAGAGATGCGAAAAAGCTAGTACTAGCATCGAGTCACCTGTCAGTTGTCAGTGTCAGATGCATTGCAAATTACAAGTTCATTTGCGACTGGCATTACATCCGCTTAAGCGCTTAAGCCAGACCTTCTTACACAAAAAACTTTGCTGGGCTGCATAAATTATGAGCCATCGAGTGGGACAGAGACAGGGCGAACACGGGGCGAACAGAGTTCGAGATGAAGGGCGATGGACTGTGGACAAGGAAGGTACAGTCACCGCTAATGGAACATAATGAGAAGCCATTAGCGAGTGTCGCAGCTAACTGTACATTATGCATTTTCTGAAGCCAGCCAAGCGTACAATGTACATGGGGCTTTAGTGTGGCTGTAGTTTTGTTGATGTTTCTGCTTAACTGGTCACATTAAACATAACATCGAACGCGCCTCAAGCATCATTAAGAATCGCAGCTTCACTTTTCACGCTTTTATTTGATTAGTTCATCATTTATTATTATTAATTAATGAAGTTTCTCAGCGCTCTCTGTTTATTATTAACCATTATTAAATCCAAACGAACAATAACAAATTCGATGCGATTATCACTCATAATTGCGGATATGTTCTGTTCGCTGGGAAATCCTAACAAAAACATAATAAGTCACTCGCAAAACCAGTTTTATACCTATTTCTATTTCGGTTTTTCGGTTTTTCGGGTTCAACTGCAACTCATCATAACTAGACGTTAGACGAATGATGCTGCAAAAGTATTTTTAGAGATTAATCCCAGTTGAATGGTTTTATTGTTTTGGGTGAAAAGTTTGATTTGCGAAAGTAAAACTTGTCTGACTCAGCTTAAAGTTGATTTCTAACCTTGAACTTATCATTTAGGATTCTCCCCCCCCATTGTTTTCTTACCCATTTATGGTGCTTAATAATTTTATAGTTATTTATAAATTTCATTAATACTAACCACTCTTTTTTATTCTAAACATGAATACCTTCTCTTTTACTTCAAGTTCTTCTCTACTTCTTTTAAGTTAACAAAAGCAACGATGAAAACCCAATTAAGTTCCATAGAATTTGGACATGGATTTTGGATTTCATCCAACCCTGAACTCTTGAACCTTCTTGAGATCGACCCCCTGTGTTTTCAACACCTATTACTTGTCATTAGAAATATTCAGCAAAAGCCATTCAAGAATTTCGGCAAACTTAGCTACCGTTTTCGATCGTTAGATCTTCTCCATCATTATGATCATTTTTGGTTCATCAACAATCCACTGATCCCAATCAGCATCATCATAATGATCAACAGCAACTTTGATGCCTCTCAAGTTGTTTTGCCAGAATCGAATCGAAACGAGCGGCGACTTTTGTTGTAATGGCCCTCGAGTGAGGGCATTTTTGGTTAGCCCCAAAAACACTCGAGCCAGCGAATCGCCAACCGGAACTCCGCAAAAGTGTTTTTCTCTTTGCATTTATCGGTTGATCTTTTTTTTTTTCGACCCCCCCCATTTTTTTCATTCTTGGTTTTATGATGATGCTTCTACCTTTAACAGCAAACAGGCGCGTAGATCTGAGATTATTTCCAAAACAATATAGTTACTCAGATCTACTTAAAACCTAAATTTAGAAAAGTGTCAAGCCGAGACTGGGAACATCAACGAGGTTCTTCATTAAGTTGGATGATAAGAAGTTATATAAAAATAGAAAACTATTTTAAGATCTTTTATAGACTAAGTACTTAAGGAAAATAACTTTATTTTATAGAAAAATCTTCAATCTTACATCTGCACTCATGTCGGTTTATAAAAAAAGCAACCTCCCAAGCTTGACCCCTCTACCACTCTTGTTACTATAATTAGTTTAGCCGCAGAATTTTGACCAAGTGCCAAGTGGCATGTACCGCCAAAATGCACCACTCAGCGGATTGCAGACAGCCTCACCCACTGGCTGGAAAACCAAAAAGGGCGGGCCTTGAGGGGGATCAAAAAATTGTTTGCTAGTGGCGTCTGCCTTTGGCTAATTAAACGGCCAAAAGCAAACACAAAAAAACAAAAACAAAAACCAAATCTCAGCCAAACAAAAAAACAAAAATCGGCAAAGAAGAAGTTGAACAGAAAACAATTAAAGCCGAGCATGGAATGTTTGTCGGAGTGTGAGTGTTTGTTAGCGTGGCTATAAAACCAAATCGCTTCACCGAATTCACCAGCAGTTGCCGTTCGAGCGTTCCCAGATCAAGAATCCGCCACCTCCAATATATCAACTATATATCTATATAGTTCCTTATTTTTTTTTTTTACAAGTGACCTTTTGTGATCTGTGATTTCGTATTTTTTTAAGTCAAAAATAATGTCGCGTCCTGTGCTAACCATTGCCTTTTTGCTTTTGGGCTTTTCCTCGGCCATTTTGGCCGGCCGTCTTAGCCAGCGTTATTTGCCAACTCCGCAGGCCAGTCAGCTGCACTATCATGGTGTCAGCGGCCAAGGACATGCTCCTCGTCCTGGCGCTGGACATGGCTTTGCCGCCGGCAGTGGATCTGGCTTTCAGCGCCAGCAGCAACCGCAAATTCCCATCGTAAGGAGCGACTACCAGAGCGATGCCAATGGCAACTACAACTTTGGGTGAGCTTTTAGCTAACTTGCATTCATGTTAATCGCATTTCCACTTCAGTTACTAATACGAAAGATCCATTAAATTTTTTTCAGCTTCGACACTGGCAATGGCATCCATCGCGATGAGACCGGTGAGTTCCGTGGAGGATGGCCTCATGGATCATTGGGCGTTCAAGGATCTTACTCCTATACCGGTGATGATGGCAAACAGTACACGGTGAACTACAAGGCGGACAAGAATGGTTTCCAGGCTGAAGGAGCTCATCTGCCTGTTGCTCCATCGGTTCCCGCAGCCCCAGCTGGGTAACTACTATATAATGATAGCTATAGTATCCTGACTATAATATCATGACTATATCGAATGGCTTTTGGCAATTTTAGACGCAGTTCTTATGGAGCTGTTGGTGGCTACCGTGGATCTGCCTCATCGCATGCTTCTGCAGCTGCCCCTGCTACTAGATATCTGCCACCAGGATATCGCCAGCGCAGGAACTACTAAGGGATATGATCTAATATGATCTAAAGGATGGAAAGGATCTAGCAAACTAACTATCTGATTTTAATAATGTAAAATGTAATAAATTGGCACCTTTTTTTTTGTAATCAAAGTTTTCCCTGTTTAAGCCCTCTTTTAAGTTGCCTTTTCCATATCAATATCCCTTGGAAAAACTACAAAAAAAAGCAAAACCGAGAAAGGAACGCCTTTGTAGCTAATTTGAGGGAACAACTTCTGAGCCACGCCCATTAAAAGGCTGGCAAAAGAACACACACATTGCCACGCCTCTTTGGTGTTTGGCATTTTTTTCCATGTGGTCTTTGACTTTTGGCCAAAAATCGAAATAACTTCTCAATACAAAAACAAAGCAAAGTTTTGTTGGCAAAAGGAGGGTTGGGGGGGTGGAGGGGTAAATTAATATGCAGTTAAGCAGTTAAGTTAAGGTCCGCAATCAAAACAAGCTAAAATCCCTGCCTTTTGCCACATTACAAAACTTTTTTTGTTGGTCCTTTCAGGCAGAAGAGAAGGGAAAAAGTTGAGACTTTTTGGCCATTGTCGCCTGGCATTAATCATAAGCAAAGCCAACTTTTACGTCTGAGGCTCTGTTTATTTTTGTCTTCAAGTCTGAGCTTTGGCTCTAACGAGAAGGGTGAAATGCTTAAGAGGGAAAGGTGGGAAAATTTAAGTTACAAAATTTAAGAATTTAAGGTAAAATTTTATGTTTTTAAGTTTCGATTTAGTTTATATTAATCATAATATTTCTTAAATATTCTTAAAATATCAAAACCTAAGCTAAGTTTAAGCTTCTATTTGCCAGCTTTAACCCAACTCCTTACTCTCAGTTACCCCTCTAACATCACCCACCACAAGTTATATTATAATTAAGATCATAGGAAAATATTATATACGTTTCTTTATAATTCGAAAACTTCTAGCAAAAAAAAACAGACAGAAAACGCCCCATTGAGGCTGACTAAAAAAAAGCCTTTCACAGCCCTTTCAAATGTAAATGCTTTTCCAGCGCTTTTCTTTTTATTTTTCCACCCATCCTCCTTCAATGGCAATACTGTCAAGTTTCCTTCTAGCATTGTCTCTGAAACTTTCTTCTTCTCATTTTTTTTTGTTTTTTTGCTTTTCTTTTTGTTTTTTTGAATTGTTTTCGTTGATTTTTCCCAAGCCATATCTTCGTCTTTTCCTAACCATGGCTCGGTCGGTCGTTTAGCATTCGCATTCCGTTTTAGCATTAATTAAAATTACACTGAATTGCCGGCGGGGCATCAGGGGGATACCCAGAAAAGCAGCAAAAATAGCAGAAGAAGGCGGTGGGGGAGTGGAGTGTCGTTGGGCAAAATGGGATGTTCTCATAAATTAAAGGCGCTTATGAATTTTATAAATTATTTTCCATGTTGCGGCACCGCTTGGGAAGATGAACAATTGCCGGAGTGCGGAGGGTGGGGCAAGGAAAATGCAAAAAAGGAAGGGGGGGGAGGGTCTCTGGGATACAGAGAAGAGGTTCTAGCTAGGATGGAATGCACTGGGGAAAAGTTATAATCTTATGATATTCCACAGCTGAAGGCTATCTTCTAACTTCTTTCATTTTGATTTCTTGCTAAAATTTCAATTAATTTCCATCTAATTTTTAGAATAATTTCTCGCAGTGTACAACAAACCGGCCATTACGAACAGGCATCGTCCTGTTCATCGCCCGAAAGTAGGCAGCAGCGCTTATTGAATTTCATTAACATGTGAACTGGGTTTCGCCATCCTTTTTAGAGAAGGGCGTTGAAATCAGAGGTTCCATGGTTTTTGGGGGCAGGGCTGTGTGGCAACTGCAATCATTTGCATGCATGTCTGTGCATGTTTAACTACATTTCCACCACCTCCAACGCCTCCCCCTCCACCCTCAATGAACTCACTTAATTTTATGCCAAAACAATGACACGCCATAAATTTAAACGGATTTGGCGTTGTGCCGCAAGCAAAAAACAAAAAAAAAGGAGAAAGAAGCAACCCTTAAAAGGGGGTACAGGGGTGTCGTTCGGGGGTACTGACATTTGCCAGGGGCAAACACACACACACACACACACACACTTTTTTGATGCCAAAGAAAATGCTCACACAGAATGGCACGTGGAAAGCAGTTTACAAAATTTCACAATGGAAATAATTATTTGTTGGCATTTAGAAAAGTTCATTATAATATCAGTTAAGAATATTACGAACAACGTATGGTCTATATTTTACAGTATTGCTGATTTCAGAGGCCTTCAGGCTGAGATATCAAGGCTTAGACGGACAAACGGACGGACAAGCAAAAGGACAGGGTTAGAACGAGACTTCCAATATATCAATAGTATACATATCTTATGAGTTACAGAAACATTCCTTTAATCCTAAAAAACCATGATCAACGAGTAATAATGATATCAGAGATCAGAGGCCTTCAGGCTGAGATATCAACGCTTATACGGACAAACGGACGGACAAGCAAACGGACAGGGTCAGAACAAGAATACCAGTGATCATGATCAATAGTATACATAACTTATGAGTTACAAAAACATCAGAGGCCTTAGGCTGAGATATCAAGGCTTATACGGACAAACGGACGGACAAGCAAAAGGACAGGGTTAGAACGAGACTTCCAGTGATCATGATCAATAGTATACATATCTTATGAGTTACAAAAACATTCCTTTAACCCTAAAAAACCATGATCAACGAGTAATAATGATAGGTACAGGTATAGGTGGCCCATGTACCGTTTGCTTTTTGAACTATCGATAATTTTGACTTTGCCATTTCGAATGTCAGTGTCAATGTGTCAGATATTTAGTAGAAGGTTTGCAGATATTTTTATAGAGATTTCAAAACGCAAATCTTCCGTGGGCCTACAGATCCCCTGCAAGCTCTATAAGTCCCTTAAGTAATCTTTTAACTTGTAAGAAAATCTTAAACTAAAAACTAAAACCTTAAAGCTTGACCATAAACTAAATTCAAGCCAAGATCTTGAATTTATTTTCCCTACATATGAGTTTAATTGCGTGCAAATCCGCCCCAAGGAGAAAATTGAGAAAAGCGAACCTTGCGTTTGTGTCAGTCAATTTCAATGTTAATCCACCTGTGTTTCGGAATGGCTATATACGTGTGTGTGTTGATATTGATATGGCAGTTGCACGCACATTTTCCCCGCTTTTCCCGCCATTTTCCTTCTTAGCAGTTACATTATTTAGCCTTAGCCAAAGCCTTTTCCCCATTCCCTTCACAACGCCTTGCTTTTTCCCACCGTCTCCGGGTGAGTCATCTTCATTGGCAATGCGAGAACGTTGTTACCCGTCCCAGCGGACATCATTTTCATTAAAATTTTAATAGTCTGCGTGTGTGTGTTTGTGTGCTGGATGGCTGGCTGGCTGGCCCCACTTTTCCTTGTTTTCCTCACCCTCTTCGAGCTCCCCACAGTGTACAACACGTAATATTATAAATTTAGCAAGTTATGTTCGAAACTAAAGTGCCTGCAGTTTGAGCTGGGGAATGAACTCTTTCCTGAAATCTTTTTTTTAACATTTAAAGAAAATTTATAAGAAATATTATTAGTTTTCCCCTCTTCGTAAGACAAATTTTCTTTAAAAAAAGTGAAGTAATTGAATGAAAAACTATAAAACTTAGCAATAAGTTACAAGAAACATAAAGAAAAACTATAAATCTTTACGCACATGCCAATGCCTTGTTTTCCCGCGAAAAGCATAGAATTTCCCACCAGCATTTTCAATTCGTTACGAGAAAGGGAAATAAATCGAAGCGAAATGGAAAACAAGAAATTCCAATAAACTAATTTGCACAAAGCGTCGAGGAAACTTTTGGCAGCTGGTTGACGGGAGACCTTATGGACGACGAGGACGACGACGACAACTCGATCCCCTCTTGCAATCCTCTTAACCCCACTGTTAGCTCCTCGCAATCTTCTTAGCCAGAAGCCCTCCCACTGGAAAACTTTTCTCCCCAAGTATTTGCGTATGAATTTTAAGCAGCTGGAACAAATGCATGGCCAATAAAAGGGATAAAATTGAAAACCAGCCAGCAATCCCCCAGCATATATGTACATAGCCCCTCCCCACCCCCTCCTTTTATATAGAAATCCATATATAATTTACATATGTGTGCGTTAACTGTTAACGGTATTCCCTGCCCGTCGTAATTGTAACGCCTCGGCAAAGCTCAGACCATTGGAAAATATAAAATTTCCATACACCAAAAAGAGCATCGAGCATGGAGCTTGGAGCGTGGAGCATCTTGTTGGGTATTTGCGTATAATAAATTAGCATCGCGTTTCGCATTATTGACTGGATTTTGAATAATAACACACAAAGGACCTTTACGGGCAGCAGGATAAGGAAGGTGCCGCGCCACAGGATCCATGGGATCCAATGTAACTGTAGACCGGCGACAAATGGAGAACTCCAAAGCAGGACTGAAAAGTGAACAGTTTTGAACACGGCAAGAAAAGCAGGAACCAGTTGGGAATTATAACGATATAGAACATATTTATATTCATTTTAAGCTAATGAAAACGTAAGTACCATTAATATTTTGAAATAAAATAGTTATTACGTGGCCCATGTAATGTTTGCTTTTTAATCTATCGATAATTTTGTCAGATATTTAATAGAAAGTTTGCGGTTTACGAAATGGTTAAGTTTACGCTCGAAGAAAATTGTGAAATATTGATATTATTATAGCGATTTTAAAACGCAAATCTTTCGTGGGCCACCCTATACAAGTAGCTTATACTTCCTAATAATATTTCTAATTCGATTTTTCCACAGTGCATCTCACATATCAGCAGCACAAAGGCAGCACTGCCATGTAATACATCCCAAATGCTGCAATCGGGGAAGGGGGCGGGAGCGGTCGAGCATTGGGAAGCATATATCCTGCTGGTGTTTTGGGGCGTTTCACACAACTCAGCACAATTGCGCACATAAATTTAGTGCGCCAAATTATGCGGTGGGCGGAGTGGAGTAAAGTAAAGTGAATGGCACACTCAAGTCAGCGGCATGACGCCGCGGATTTCACAGTGGGTACAGAAAAAATTGAATATCAAGAAAAATTATAAAAGAAATTAAGAAAGTGCAAGTTTTTTGTGGCAAAAAAATACTACATATTTAATCGAGAAATCGGTTTAAATAATTTTTCTCAATTTTGCATGATTTTTTTTTTTCAGATTTTGGACTTTAATTTTGTCAAGACAAGACGCACCGCTAATAGAACAACAGTTTTGTGCAGCCAAGGACCAAAACAAACGATGCCTACCATTGTTTTGTTTGATTTTGA